CCCAGTTTATTATCCAAAAGGGTGATTGTTTAGAATGTGAAGCGTGTAAAGACTCATGTATTTTTGATGCTATAACTTTCAATTGAATATCAATCTTTATACATTTATCGTTAATTGAACAAAATATGATACAATTTAAATCGATCAAATGACTTATAATTAAATAATTATTTTAACTGATAAAATGTTACAATTATTATCACTTTGATTATAAACTTGATTTCAAATAAAGTGAAATGTTCTTTAATTAACAATTAAAATTTCTTTGTTATTTTTTGGGATTATTATTTAAAAAAAATACAATAACTTAATTGTGTTTTATTCTTATAAAACAAATATTTTACATCAACCTTTCAACTTCTTTAAACCAATGCGAATAATTAAATTATGATATTCAACAATCAACATCAGATTCATAAAAATCTAAAAATATTATCACTCTATTGTTATTACTTTTCAAAAGGAAATTTTTCTGTTAAAAAACTTCCAAGCCAGTCAAGTGCAAAACTGATTTCTTGAGATGCTTCAGTTTCGTTTTTCCAGTTGAGTCTATCATTCAAACACAATGAGTATGGTTCATAATGTTTTATGACCATCAAATATTTGAAATTATTTAAATGTTGGTTCGTTAATGGCCAATAAATGTTCAAATCTGACTGTTTTTCGTATTTTCCGAGTTCTAAGTTCTGAAGGTAGTGCATAGATAAATAAGGAATATTTAACGAGTTAAATTCCCTCACTCTTTTCGTTTCCTGTTTTCTATATTCCTCGTTAAATTCAGATTCTATTAACTTCAAAATGCTTTTCCTCATAACATATTCAACGTGTGATTGGAAGTAGTGTTCTTTCTCTTTCTTATACATGAACTTCCGATTGATCAAAGTGTTTGTGTGAAAAGTAGAGTTGTCCCACATTCTTGTCTTCGCCAACTTGACACTTCCCGTCTTTCCAGTGATATACAATTTGGCTTTTTTGTCCTCGAAAAAGTAATTTAAAGGAGTTGGTCGGTTCAATATAAAATCGTCATTGAAATACACAAAACACTCCCCGAGGTTCTTCACGTTATGTAAATGCAATTCCAAGTTATCACTACTGAACACTGGCAAAACTTCTTTTTGTATTATTTCTTGATGAGAAACGACTTCCAAAGTGTATTCTCCGTCTTTTAGTATATAAGCAGTCTCGTTCAAAGGGCGCTCAAGGAAATTTGGTATTTGGTTGTCTGTCACAAGAAAGTAATTTTTGATATATGGCGCAAACATTTTGACACTCCTTAAAGAGTAAAACAGGGTGTTGTAATCTCGAAATTTGTTTGGGTCGTACTTGAAATTGATAACCTTTTTGTATTTGGAAATCCATGTCGGATCTGTTCCATTCACCCACAACCACAATGCATCTATTCTTCCATTACATTCAGTTGGTAAATTGTTTAGATCTTTTTCGTTAAATGAATTTTGTTGTTTTGTCGACTTTTTTAATTTTCTAAAATATCGGAAGAGCTCTTTATTTGCAAAAGTTTCCTGTTCTTTCGGAGACAAATTTCTGAACATTTCTTCCTTGTGTTTGACAGCCTCTCTCCATCTGGCCCCCCTTTTGTTTTCTGTTTCTTCCCTTTCATCATCATTATTTCCTTCTTCTCCGTCTTTGTCATTTTCATTAATTTGAAAAGTGGAGTTTATTTTATTTGATTCTAAACTTTTCAATAATTCGTCTTCTTTTTTTTTGATTTGAATAAAATAATCAGGGTTTGTGTCTAAAATTATGGTGTTAAATTTTTTTAAAGAAGAGAGTGTAAAAAATGGTTTTTGTATAACTGGAAGTATTGGGACTTCGTCATTGGTAATTTCAAGTGGGTTGAAATGAATTTTAAAGCGACTCGTCCGTTGCGGAACAAATAAAGTTGTTGTTAAAAACAACAAAAATACTGTAATTGAAACTATCAAAATTGTAAATATTGATTGCATTACAACTTTATGAATTATTAGTTGTTTTTGGAAAGTTTTACAATTAGTTTTAATTCCATTTTAAATACCATACATATATATTTGACAATAAAAATTGTCAAATATATATGTATTGTTTTACTTTAAATAACATACTATTTTTAAATAAATTATTAAAAATAGTATTTTTAAATTCACGTGTAATTAAAAATATGTTTAAATGATGTTTCTTATTTTTTGAACAATTGGTTTCGTTTTATTGTTTCATAAACTCAAACTCATTTTATTGACACATATTGTTTAAGCATAAAACATTAACCGAGGTATGACACTATTGGTGTATTTATGTAATGCTAAACACTTTTATGTGTATTACTTCTTTATTTTTTTAAATTAACATTTTTTATTAATTTTAT